AATTACAGGTGTTCAGTTCCTCCCAGACGTGCAAAACGCAGATCCTGGAAAGCAGCTCATCCCGACAAGGCTCCAGCTGCCTCCCTTCATGCCGGACGAGAGCAGATCATATGCTACATTTCACTTCTGGCCAGGACTTACCTCCATTTACTACTTTTTTGCTCAAAATTAATGCTTTTGGGCTGCAGAAGCAGTTCCCAAGATGGATTTTTCCACCGAGAAAGGAGCCGCAAGAGAAGGACCACTTCATATGGTCAAAGCGTGGGGCTTGGTAGATTTATTTTAAATTAAATAAGTTATTCCATGTGTCCTGGACACAAGCTCACTATAAACTAATTTGAAATCCAGGGAGAAAACCCCCGACAGTCAATTTTTCAGTCCTTCTAGCTGAAATACCGTACCAGTAGTTCACCACCTGGCAAATAAACCTGCCAGCTCAAAACTTTATTAATCATTTTCTGTACCCTGCTTGAACTTTTCCAAACTGAACTCCGGAGTGCTCTAATTCTCCATCCACTGGTACCAAAAGAAACAAATAAAGAGCACAAAAGGAGAGCGAGGAAGGCTACGTCATCCTCCTCTGCCTCCTCCATTGCAGGAACATGAACTTCAGAGACTGCGAGTCGGGGAGGTACCTGCCATTTGCCCCACAGCATCCCTAGTTGTAGCCCACTCTCTGTGAGTCTGAAACAGCCAGACCAATACCTTCCTTGATGGGATGGATTTTTAATTTTTCACCTGCACAGGGCATTTTTTTACAGCATTTTCTCTAATTATCATTCCAGAGTAATAATTAACAATTTTTCTCATTATCTACATTCTCCGACACCTCCAAAGACCTTGCTTGATTATGTGCCTGCATTCCTTCTTCTAAATGTTAATGTTTTAGTCTTCAAGGAAAAAAAACAAAAAAAAAAAACAAAAAGGAAAGAGATGACAAAAACTCCACAGAAAAAAGGAACAGATGTTCCTGAGATCATAGCAAAACAAGCCACATACTTAGCAGGAACAAACTGTGATGTATAACATAGTTATTTTTCTAACTTTTCTAAAATTACCAATTTGGCTCATTTCTTATGTGTAAAAAGAGGCATAAGGCCTTCCCTTCTGTCAAAGTATTGTCTCGAGTAATTTAGAAGCTCCCTGTTTCGGTGCATTGAGACTTCCAGCGCACAGACAGATTTAAGACATCTTTAAATTCGTGCAAGACTCACCAGAATGTGTTTCTTAATACCACTGTACTAGAGAAGTATTTATAGGAGAACTCCGGCTAAAACCCAAAAGCTCTGAATCAATGACTATCCCAAAAGAAATGCCATCGTAAGTCTGCTTCGCACATACAGCTGACGGTTTGGGGTGCAAGAAGGGGCACGGCGCTTGAACCACAAACCTGTGCGTTCGGTGGGGTACAGCTCACAGGCACAAACGCAGAACAGGGACAATGTTACTAATTCGGGAGTGGGAATCTCTCTACCCTACCGCACAGCTGCAGAAGATACCGCTGATAAAATCAGCCTGTTGCATCTTATCAGGCTGTTGCTTGCATCATTCCAGCCTTGTTCAGTAACGCATCCCAAATTTGAACGTGCAGTCATTGCCATGATATATACAGGCTGAATAATTTTACATTTGTGCACCTATTCTGCATATAACGCTGTTACAGTGGTAAGTGTAAGAACTATCTCAGAAAGGAGAAAGTCGTCTTTAAAGTCTGTCAAAGACTCCTCCAGTGTCAACCTAAGCAGACATTATAAATATATATATATGCACCCAGATTTCACTACTTTCTTAAATGGGGTGAAGGTACTATTATAACACATCCTTGTGATGCTCCCAGCAGTCGCATGGCATTGCTGCCTGGAATAGAGAACGAGGCATCTTTCCTCAATTCCTTCTGTCCAGATCTTCCGTGTAGTTATTTTCTCTTGACATATTGTTAAGTATGCTTAATTTTCAGTACTTAATGGCAAGATGCATCTAAGTAGGGAACACACTGTAGGTTACCTTGGGCCAGCAGGGACTAACATGGATGTTGTGATGAATACAGCATCTAAGTTCAAGCGAACGATGAGAAATTCAGATTGTCTTCTAAATTGGACTACCAGACCCTGGCTTCCCTTCAGACGAGGGAAAAATGTGTTTGTATCACTTATTTCATTGGCCATTAATGCTATTCCTAGAGGACACCTCATTTAGATGTGCTTTCTCCTACTTCTTCCAGTTCAGCTCTCATACAGTTATAAAGACTATCACATCAGTGTAGTTTCCTGTAATAGCTTTTTCCCGTGTTTTAATGACTATAACAACCAGAGGGTTTGGAAAGATAGAGCTTTTATTTCAAAAACAAATCTGAAAGAACAGAGGAACTGCTAAATTGGGTCAGAGATCCACGTAGCCCAGCGCCCTGGTCTTCATGGCGGGGAGCAGCTGGCAGTTTAGGAAAAATACCAAAAGACGGAGCGTAGAGCGATCCCTCCTAGTGTGCTTTTCCTGCAATCAGCTGTTCAGAGGTTTCCTTTAACCTGCCTCCAGATCACCGCGATCAGCAACCACTAAGAGCTGCACAACTAAGATGTATCTCATTTCTCTCCAAATCCTTTTATACTGTCAACCTCCGCAGCATCCTGTGGCAACGAGTTCCACACTCAAAACTCTGCATTTTGCGGGGAATAACTTTTTTTTTTTGAAAGCTGCTGCTTGCTAGCGTCACTGGGACAAGTTTGCAAACGCTCATGGGGGAGAGCCATCGGTCGCAGGGCGCCAGGAGGAAAGGTCGGGTCCTTCGGCTTTTGAACCAAGCTGCAAATTCGGAACCAGCTGGGCGGTTTCGTCCCTGCAAGAAGAGCAGCGATGCTGAGTTGGGAGAGAACCAGACACCCACCCTTTAATTTCTAACATGGTTTTGATTTGGAAGCAGATATGAGATAGGAGCCTATGGGAATTTTGTCATTATTGCCAAATTAAGCTTTCCTGGGGCAGATCTGGAAACGTCCAGGACTGTCCGGACTTCTTGTCTCTTCTCCCAAGTAACAAGCGATAGGACGAGAGGAAATGGCCTCAAGTTGCGCCAGGGGAGGTTTAGATTGGACATTAGGAAAAACTTCTTCACTGAAAGAGTGGTCAGGCCTTGGAACAGGCTGCCCAGGGAAGTGGTGGAGTAACCATCCCTGGAAGTATTTAAAAGACGTGTAGACGAGGCGCTTAGGGACATGGTTTGGTGGGCATGGTGGTGTTGGGTTGACGGTTGGACTTGATGATCTTAGAGATCTTTTCCAACCTTAATGATTCTATGATTCTATGACTTGCAGAGGGTGCCTTGTTTGGGCTTTAGTGGAGACTTTCCATGCTGGGTCATTTCCTCCACCACGCAGGTTTTGCCAGCCAGGGAAGGGAGTGGAGCAGGTACCAGCAGCAGCTACAGGCCAAGGTTTTCAAGTTCAACCGGCGGGCGTTTGGCAGTTTAGTGGCCTATTTTATGTGCTTTAAATGTGTCTGGTTTTCAGAAGAAGCTGAGCGCTCAGTCTTCTGAAAGCCATCTATGGCATTTCCTCTGACAGCCAAGAATTAGCGTCTATTTTAAAAAGCAAACTAAATGTAAACAACCAAACTTGCCTTTTTTTCATGAGAGAAAAGACTCGATAGGGAAAAGGCTCAGTAAAAGACTGTGACAATCATGTGGCAGGAGAAATAGCACTTCACTGAGAAGCGCGTATTTTGTTGGTATAATCCTTTCCCCTAGAAGAGGCATTCCTATATTGATTTTCTGAACATTTATCTCTTCTGTGCTTTAGTCTGACAAATACCTGTGTGAGCAAATTTCACTCTGTAAATGGTTACTCCGCTGTTCGGGGTAGAGGACTTACTATTTTATAATGTGACAGATTGCCTAAATAAGACAGTCTCCAGAATGGACCATCCACCAACTCATAAACCTATACGATATAAAATCCTACATAAACCTATATAAAAAACAACTGAACAAGTGCCCATGGTTTGCCTGCATGTACAAAGTGCCTGCACAATCATTCTTTTTCGAATAATATGTATCATGTTTGTCAATTTAACAAACACATTAAGCATTAAATGAGCAACATTTCTTTACATCAGATAAAAAATCTGTGCATTTATACTTCAAATATCTATGGAGCTGTAGCCACATAGGTCAATATAGGAGGATGGGAATTCTTTATGTCTTCTTGCTTGTGATTGTTTTACCTGTAATAAAATTCAACCAAGCCCCAGCCTTGCGTTAACCCGTTCAGTCGGAAATCTGCAATGCACTCATGGAAAACGCCGCTTCCAGTCAGGCCGTTATACACCACGGGGCAAGCCTGCTTATCCAGCGTTGCAGAAACATCAAAGTACTTGCCACCTTTGATAAGAATAAAAAGGGAAGAATGTCTCCAACCTTCAGTAGTATTTTATCTCAAAAAATCCCAAGATCTATTATTTTTGCATATGGTTTCTTCTTGTGCTTTTCTAAAGAGCAATAGTTTTCCCGTCTGCTTTGTAAATTAAGTACAATCTTTGATCAAGCCGTATTTCCAGAGCAGCTGAATCCACCTCATAACATACGTTTTGACACCCCAAAAATGAAAATCACATCATTTATCTGGATTGGCATAAGCAACAGTCACCACAAATAGAAACTGTCACTCTCCCTCTGATACAGCTGCCTGTGGCCCTGATCCTGCCGTGGACACACACCGTTCCACCGATGACACATACATACGAGTACACATACGACTTAAGCACAGAAGTAAATTCCTCAGGCTGTAAGATGATGCATTTAGCTTTCAAATTTGCTCCAAGGATCACATGGAATTTCACTGAATAGTCTTTCCTCCACTAAATTAACTGCCAAAAGGCTGAAAGCAGACATAGGCAGGCTACATTTAGCTTACCGGCAGTAAAACTGACTCCGTATTCATCCTCGATAACACCATCATCAGCCATCCCAGCCAGCGAGGCATTGGACCACTCAATGCCAGCCTTCCTCCCATCGGGGAGAAAGACATAACCTACAGTGAGGCTGAAGGGGAAAGAAATGGAGCAGAATTAAAGTTCAACTACAACTCAGGTGGACCAGCACATTGGCCTTCCAGGGCAACTCATCGCTGAGCATGGCCTTCAGCCCTGGAAAGCAGCAGGATTATATTGTGGGATATTGCGGGGGAAGCCATGCATGCAGGAAAGATGAGGTTTGCAGGATGGATTGTGGTGGGCAGGTGGGACAGGCAGGTCACTTGGTCCACTTGGTCAGAGGGCCATGCATGCTGGTCTTTAAGCTTCTGGAGCGCGCCAGTCAGCAAAGCAGGGCTCCCTGCGTGACGCCCCACTGCAGACAGACACACCTTCTTAAACAGCTGGAAGCGCTCAATCTATACCTCTAAATCATCTCGACAGTAAGACAGGCAGCTGCATCAGCCAAACAGTAATTGAATGGGAAGGAAGTAACTGAAGGTAAAAGCTGTCCCTGTGACTCATTGCAAATGGAAAATTGGGGGGAGGGAGTGGAAAGCAAGAGGGTATGGATGGAAATCGGGCTATACAGGTTCAAAGCAATAATGTGCATATAGGCGTCCTGCAGGGCAGCTTCTGCCACCTTTAAGACATATGTTTTTAGCAGCATAAACTTCCTTGGTTACTTACTTAGTTGTGGTAGCTGGCATATTAATAACTGTTAAATGTGCCGCAGTCCCATCCTGTAAGAGAGCAATAAAGAAAAATTTGTGTGGACTCATTTGCGTGGATCATAGACTGACTCGACCAAGAAGACACTGGATACAGCTCAGGTTATGCAGTGTGCTATGAATTTATACTTTTAAGTCTTCTCAATATATCTTCCATGAAAATCTGGCTGCAAATCAGAGTCCAAGAATATAAACCAGACACATTAAGGGCAAATTAAGGACATTAAGGACAACAGAAAACCCACAGCAAGTGGACATAAGAGGAGGAGGGAAACAATACATGGAGAGGTGTCACCTAGCCATGTTCAAAACTGTTGGGCAACGTACGAAAGTTGGCCCTGCCTTGACCAGACATCTCCTCTAACCTATATTATTCTATGCCTGAGAGCAGCATACAGGAAAAATAAAAAGGAACTGGAATCTCATGGTTTTATTCATTTCTCTTCCATCCTTGAGTCTGAATCCCTTCATGCTCCACTTGGGCTGCTCTGAGGCAAATATAAGCCTACGCTGTGGTGTTACATACCTACAGACACTCAGGGTATGAGGACTGCAAACTTCAATCAGTGACAAACTTTAGCTCCTTCTTAACACATAGTCAGGTGGCTTTTAACTAGGGGAGGAAGAGCCACAGTTATTTTGAGTCCTGAATAACTATGAAGAAAAGGAAGAGGTTACTACCTGACTATACACGTTACAGTGCAAAAGCACAGTCTTACAAAAAGGAACACAGGCATACGTTAAACCACAGCAGCTACTGGATCTGCACATATGTGGGATTTTCCAAGGTGTGTTTCTGTGCTGGCCAACATATATCTGGGAAAAGAATTTTTATTCTGAGTTCAGTCTTAACTCCCGTAATGCTGCCTATAACAGAGAGTTGAGATTTCTTTACGCCTGTGTTGGCAAAGGAAATGCCTTTTCAGGAGCATCTGTTGGGGTTGCATGCCGGCTTGTAAGGCCAGCATTTCCCCCGGCTGTGTGCTCCCCGCAGGCAGAGCGCAGACACTCCTCTGGAACAGCCACAAGGGCACAGCGGAGATTAGAGCTCAGCACAGGCAGAAATATTTGCCGACTGCTGTCATGAAGGCTTAGGATGCCTTCAAACACCTCAGGCTCTCAATTAGTGTGAATCAGCACTGCATCAACTCCATCGAGCGCCGGGTATCTGCGGCAGCCGAGAATCTGTCCTGTAAAGCTGCCTATTTTTTTGTTAAAAAAGCCAAAACAAACAGTTTCAAGTTACCAAAACAACTTTTGGTTCAACCAGTGTAGCAAAATCTCAGTTTTTACACACATGGCTCTGCTTTTGAGAGCTGTTTCCAACACCGATATGTTCTAATGATGGCACCAGTTAGCATTTCTGATTGCATACCGTGGATGCTCCCAATGGCTTATTTCTGGATATTTAAATATGAGGTATTCAGAACACCTCCCTTTTCATGGTTAACTAGCATACTGGCATGTTAACACCTACCTCAAAGCGTGCCAAAATCATGACATACCGGTAAATCTCAGACCAGTTCCTGATACCTGCAAAAAAGAACAAAATCACCCAACCTAAAATTAACCGTTGCTGGAAAACATGAAATAATGGTACCTGACTTGACATTAACTTTAAGTAAAGAAATTCTCCAGTAATTGATAACAGGCTAAACATGTCCCCAAAACAATAACGGAATTGTTCCTCTTCCCCCATCAGTTCAAGGCCTAATGGCAGAGTAATATGTCAAGTCATAGGGGAGCAGAGTAATAGGTCAAGTCAGACTGACAACAGGTCTACATACTGGCCAAATCCAGGAAAATGTCACAAAACATTTTAACAGCTCCGAATGTGTCAATGCCTTTGCTGCAGCTCACGAGACATGAATGGACCAAATTCTCTCCATCATGAACCTCTGCACCCCTTTGGCCCAGCTGCGACCTCATACCCCATCTCCCCCTTAAATAGGAATATTGCTGCCTTGAGGAGCGTCAACTTTTAATGAGGTGAAGAGAGGAAGGTGGGATTTGTGGTTCAGGGAGACTTCATGCCTACTTGGGTCTAGGTCCTCTGGTACCTATCCTTTGGGGGATAAAAGGACAAAAGGAGCTCTTTGCTCAGGTAGGCTCCCAGCACTTGGAAAAGCAAATTGTTTGGTCCTCAGCCCCTCTGCCACAGTCGCTCAGCCTTAGGGGCTGTAAGAGCAAGAAGGAGTGATCCCAGGACTGGGGGTGTCTTTAGGAACAAGCTGTCATGTTTCTTCTTCATTTAGAAACTATAACTGCAAGGCCTCAATTCAGAGCGTTACGACATGTGAAGTTTAGCCATAAAAATGGTATTTCCTCTGGAATGTCTTAACTTCATGCCCAGTCGTGAAATTGGTTATTTTTAAAGATAATCTTTAGTCCCACTGTCCTGCCAGTACCATCTATAGTGAAGGCAGCAAAGTGAATGAATTGTTTCTGGTGCTGTTACCGTAAGAGTGGCTCCGAACGCCTTTGAGGGAAAGTTCCGTTTTCTCATTATTTTCTATTTCAATTTCTCCAACGGACTGGCCCCACTGCTCATGTCGGAAATGTTGTTCCCTTTGTCTGGGAGAAAGAAAAGAGTGAATCGACACAAACAAAATCAAGATGGCAAAATGAAGGCGGCCCCAATGCCAGTCTGATAGACTTATATCCCAAAATGAAGGAGAGATTTCAGAGCATCTGGATCATGGCTATGCCAGATTTTGCACATTAGCAACCAGATATTGCTACATAATGTCTATGAGACACCTGAGAATGAAACAGCAGCAAATTCCCCCCCCGACATCTATAAAAATGCCCTTTGCTTGAAAAACAAATGCTGTACTACCAAACAGTTGCTGCTTAGAAGTCAGCAGATATCACCAAAGACAACACACTATTGATACACATATTTTCTGCTTGTATTAAACAACACACTGTTGATACTCATGTTTTGTTCCTGTATTTTCAGCTCTCCAAAGCTTGTATAGTAATTAAAACACCCACTTTAGCCCTCCTTTCACACGGTTATATTTGATCTTTTGCTTAGATCTGCACCATTGGTTTTGGAAGAGGTCTAAATCAGGTTGTCAGCAATGAAAGAAAGACAGAATAAGAAATATTCCTAATGCTCAAGGTTTCACAGACCAAAACCATGGGCAGGTCCCTCCACCCACATATCAGGAAGACCCTGTCCGTGTGCAGGATCCTCCTTAGAGGTTGCCAGGTCTGGTGGTAATGAAACCAGGAGACTGCTGATGGGAGCCATGTCCTTTGTTAGCTCACTTCAAATTAAACCCACCTTCTAAAATCACCTAAAACAACACATGACAGACCCTGAAGAGATCCGTGGAAAAATTACTATTAACCCCAGAAGAAATTAATCTCGCCTCTCACTTTTTGACCCTCTGGAAGAACTCGATGGTCCACGGTTCCTGGGCAAAAGCACGTGCAAATGTTCTGGGGTGACTGTCGATACTAAAGTTAAAGACTTCTGTGAAGTTCTCCCAACTAGGAAAAGAGGGGAAAAAAAAAAAGACATTATTAGCTTTCAGGTGACACTAGCCCAAGTTGTACACTTGCTACTCTGGCAATGGCAATCTTTGTATTTTAGCATTATTGGCTAATTCTGATTCTCGTAATTTTTAAAATGTTACCACTTTTCAAGAAAGCAAACAAAAGGAAACCGTGAAGAGCAACAACGGCCTGCAAGAGTCAACAGATTGCCTAGGAGGGAAGCTGGCAGGGCAGAGCCGCAAGCGAGAGCACGCTGCTTTCTCTCATGTACTCTCTTCAGAGGTACACATGCAGCATTACTCCAGAAATGCTGTGCTACTTTGACAGCAAATCATTTTTTATCAGACAAACAGACTCCATAAACAGAAAGAGAAAGCAGAGGCAAGGGCTTCGCAGAATCATAGAATCATAGAATCATTAAGGTTGGAAAAGACCTCTAAGATCATCGAGTCCAAACATCAGCTCAACACCACCATGCCCACTAAACCATGTCCCACGTGCTACTTTGTGCCCGTGGCCCTTTGAAAACAGTAACCAAATCTCTAACCATGGACTCGCTATACATCCCAAAGCAAAAGCCAAACGCTCTTACTGGAAAGAGAATTTAACTGGTACAAGTTCGCCCTCCTCTTCACTCCACTGCTGTCGGTAGGGTCCTTTTCTGTAAGGCAAAGCACTACAATTTTGTATCACTCCTAAACAAACAGCAAAATGTTTCTCACATGTTTGGAAGTGGATGCAATAGGAGACACTGCAGAAGAATGACGCTATTGAGTGCTAAGGTAGAATAGTAATGCTATATTACAACCCTACACCAGGCGCAGATATTACTTGCTGTATTTTCATTCCGTAAAAATCAATGCGTGCAATTGCTACCAAATAGCTTTTGGTTCAAGTCGGTTAAATATATTTCCAGATAGTGTTCAAAAAGCCTTGGTCTTAAGTGTAGATAAATAAAACTGCAGAGTGCTGCAATACCTGAGTAATCCATCGAAGCTTATTTTCCAGCGTGTTTGGGGCTCTAAGTATTCAATAGTGAGCCCTCCTCCACTCCAAATCTCTTCAGATTCATCACTCACCATCATGTTTGGATGTTGTGGGTGCTAAAAAGACATTTAAGGAAAACATTTGCTTAATTCAATTGTGGGGATGCAATGCGGGTGAATTCCTGTTCTGATGGTCCTCCGCAGGAAGAACATTTGGTTGAATGGGCTTTTCAGTTCTACCTGCTTCTGGCAATCAGATTATTAGAGAAGGAAAATTGCATCTAAAACACCTGAGTTATAAGATAATACATTATTGTTTCAGGTAATACAACTGAATTACTTGTGTGAAGGGAGGTCACTACAAGAGCTCAGCTCCTTCCGCTAGTGACTGTCAAATTTACAGCCAAGCTGATGCAGGGCTTTGGGAATAAATTTATTTTTAGACTGAATTTGATGAACCTCTAAAATGATTTAAATTTCTAGTGCATGCAAGCTCCCAAAACTCTTCAGCTGCTCTTTGAAAAATATCTCTTGTTTCCTAAAGCTGCCACCTTTCTAAAAGAGAGCTTATGCCTCTTGCTGAAGGATCTAAGAAGGTCCTGAACTTGGCCGGCAGTTCTAAATGACAAAGCCACAAAGTAGTATTGTTATATTAAATATTACTAGAAAACCAAATAATGCACATCAATCTTCTCTGTTTTGGTTTTCCGCAAACAGGACGCCTCCTGCTTTTTCCGCTACTTAGCAAAACAAATTTGTGAACATAGTTAGTTGAGTGCAAAGAGATTTATGGCAGATCTTCCCTCCTTCTTTATTACATACTCAACAAAAAGAAAAAACACTTAAAAAAGAAAATCCACAGGCAAAATATATGATTAATACTGTCTTCCTTTTAGCAAGAATGAAGCAGATGCACATACAACTCTCTAAAAGCTTTCCTTTCTCTTTGAAAAGAGGCAATTCCACAACGGTTTTAAAGCATTCTCTCATTAAAAAAGGGGGAAAAAACAACCATAACCATACAAGGTAACTTATTAACCACATGCTGCACATTATCAGAAAGACCGAATGCTCAAATTCTTCCTGGGAGACCTACCAAGTCATTTTTTAGAAAAAATGCTATGTTTTCTGCACATTATGAGAAAAAGGGAATGAGTGTCAGATACCTACTCAAAAAATTAGGCATAACCAATAATCTGGCCAGTTCTACCACTGTCTTTAGTCACAGCACCAATGTCTTACTGTTAGGATATTAATGTAGTGAAGATGCAGAGAACATTAATTTTTTGCTTGGGATCCTAACACAGGTTCAAGATAGGAGTTAAGCACTGCTCTTGAATGTCATCCCACGTCCACCACTTACTTCAAACTCTCCTATTCCATCCACCCTCAGGAAGAGCCACATCTCACAGATCCCATTAGGACGTTTGGCAAGACGAGCAATCACAAAGGTCTTGTTGGTCTCTGCAAAGCCGGTGAAGTAAACCGAATCAAGCGCCTAGGGAAAGGGAAATGGGTTTCAGCTCCAGCTGGAGGCAGGAAAGGAGGGGGAGAAGGTGAGTAATTCTTTGTTTTCCGTAGGTTTCTTCTCAGGAATGAAATTTTACTTTCGCTTTTTATATTTAATAGCAGGCATCCCAGCAAACAGCCAGAGAGGGAGCAGATGAGAAGCAGTTTTAGAGAGGGAACATAATTATTGCATGATAGCCACGGACAAGGTAAAATATTATGCTGAATTAAGATGATTATTTTGCAATGAGAAGTTCCCTTGACCAAAATCCTTATGAAATGTGTCCTCAAAAAGTGCCTGCAAGGAAGAAATTGAGCCACAAATGTGCTGTTTCTCCATCTAGCTCCAACTTGTATGTAGGACAACTTATACTTAGGGGAAACATAGAACTAAAAAGGAAAAAGGAAGAGGAAGAGGAAAAAAGAAAGTCATGGAAAACCCAGCACTTCACTAACGTGATTAGCAGCTGGGCTGGTGCAGGACCAGTTAACATCTCAAATCTCAAAATCTGTTAGGCACAGAAGTCCACAACTTCAAATTCAGATGTGTATTTTCACGTATTCGTGCAGAACTCACTCAAAGTGAAGTTTTAAAAGCTGGAACGTGGAAGTTAACATTTATGCGTGCAATTTTAGGCATGGATGAAGTTCTGCTTCTGAAAAATTATTCATTGTAAAATGCAAAAAAATACTAAAATCAGATGATTATTGCCCTTGTGCATACAGATAAGGGGGGATTTTGAGGGAACAGAGCCTGGAAATACACACAGAGTGAGTCTATTGGATGTCAATGCAAAAACTCAGAGACATCATTTCTGGAAGTATTTTCCAGATCTGTTTTTGACCTCTCTTGTAAGTGTTGCTCCAGTGCTGCTGCTTGAGGGAGCAGAGAGGAAATCACAGACCCCTTGGCCTATCTCAAACCACCCTGGATGTCAGTTTGATTTGGAAGATAGTGTCACTCCTGCCCTGTCAAATTTGGTGGAGATTGGCAAAACACTTCAACATGCTCCAAGCAGCAGCTTAATTAGTAGAAAGGAAAAGCTAGACAAAACAGCTTCTTTTTTTAAAGGCTAAGCAGAAGCCTCAATGCATTTGTTAAATAATATGACTTAAGGATTCCCAGAAGGCCCCAGGAAATGTTAGCAAGAAGTTGATTTTTCACAGAAATTACTTAGGATCCAAAATCTCAGCTGGCATCTGCAAGCCGAATCTTGATAAGGCACAGAAAACCGAGGGAAATCCTGTCTCACCAGCCTTTCCACTTCTCGTTCTCACTACTCCACTTCTCAGATAATAGAGCAAAGCCCACCCAAATCCCCCCATTAGGCACAGGGAGTATTTTGACAGGGTGGTACATGAACACAGGCAAGGTACAGGTTGTAGACAGAGGGTTTATTATTTATTAAGCAGACAAGCACACCTGGAAAACTAGATTCAATTCACCAAGTGTGCTAAAATAAAAGGCTTCTGTGTCCCACAGTGTATCTGCTTTTTCCCATCAACATCAACTGGTCTGATAAGAGGTAACCCCTCTTCCTGCAAGGGACAGCCAAGGTGACATCCCCAACCTGCCCTCCCTGGGATGTGTTGAAGTGGGGGGAAAAGGATATGGGTCCCGAGGCTTCAGGGGTTGGGTGGTGGGGGGTGCCAAGCACCCGGATGCAGAGGATGGGGGTACCTGAGGGATGCAGGTCCCAGGGGGGATGCAAGGGGGTGCGGGGGATGCAGAGGGGTGCAGGTCGTTGAGGGATGTGGGTTCTGCAGATAGCGGTGGTGTGGGTCCAGGGGGGTACGGGTCCAAGGGGAATGGGTGTTGTGGGGGAACGTGGGTCTCAGGGGATGGGGG